AATAAAATTTAAATTATAATATTAATTATTTTAAATTAAAATTAGAATTCTAATTAATGTAAATTGAAATTTCATCTGAGTTAATTATTACATTGGATATATAATTTAAATTTCAAAAACAAAATATTACAAAAAAATAAAAATACATGTAATATATTTAACATTTTTCAAAAATTTAGGGGCACACATCAACAGCTAAAAAGATTTCCGTTAATCTAGAATGTTTGTCAAGTATATCATTTTGAAACAAAATTGATAGTTTATAAATCATTTTGAAAGAAAAAATTATTTCTAGACTAAACTAAAATAAATTACATAGTTAATAGATTATTTATTAAATTTAGCCCCATAAAACATAGAGCTTTGGGAAGTTTCTAGTAAGAAACAGGAGGACTTTAGAGTAGAGAGAGAAAAGAGATTGCTTACAAAAGATTATAATTGGAAGTTGATTAAGTACTAATAAATTGCTCGTTTCAATTTTACTTTATTCTGAATCTTGTCAACCAAGGAAATAAAAGGCATAAGAAACCTTACTATGGGCTTGCTCAACGTTCCGCCCCTGGTTTTTTAACTACCAGGTTGACCATTACTAGTTTGAACTTGAAAGATTGTGGGAAAGGAAGGAAAGGAGTAAAGGTGCACATAAGGATGTCAATTTTGTATTTTTTTTATTTAAATATATTAACTTTATCAATATCTAAATAAGGATATCAACTTTTAATTTTTTCTAAATAAAGATGTCAACTTTCAACTTTTTCTATTTAAAGATTAATTGGGTGATCGTACGTGATTAAAATATGTTTTTAGGTTAAATACTTGAATTGGTCCCTCAACTTTTATTTTTGAACCAATTCATCCTTGAACTTCAAAAAGCACCAAAAACATCCTTCAACTTCAATTTTCAGCACTAATTTCGTCTTTCCGTCAGTCAAGTGCTAATGTAGCTAACTTTTTCGCTTAGTGATTGACTATTTTACATTTTCAATATTAGGTGAAAAATCCATCATGTAAAAGATGATTATGTGGATTTTTTAATTTTAAATAATTTAAAAACTACTTTAATTCTTAATTTTACTTTATTTATATTTAAAAATCAAAACAATTAATATATTTTTCCATTTAATTAGTCCCACCCACCATAAGTAACTCTTAATTTATAAAGAAATAAATTAAATCTCATTTAATTTATTAAATCAAATCTCACTTACTATAATTATCTCCTAATTCATGGAAGAATTAATTAACTTTTATTTAATTTTATTAAATGAAATTAAAATAAAATTAAAATAATTTTTTGGTTCTTCCTCGACCTTCTTTTTTGTTTAAATTATTAAAATAAACTGTAATTATTTCCTAATTGATTCTTCCATGATTAAATTCCATTTAATAAAATTAAATCACGGTTAATTGATTCTTCCATGAATTAGGAAATAATTGTAGTAGGTGAGATTTGATTTAATAAAATTAAATAAGAGTTAATTTATTTCTTTATAAATTAAGAGTTACTTATGGTAGGTGGGACTAATTAAATGGGAAATATATTAATTGTTTTAATTTTTAAATATAA